CCTTGGAGTATTCGCGCAGGTTCTTGCGCACCTGCTTCTGCTCCTCCTTGCTGAGAAGAGTGGGGGGGCGAGGGCGCCAGACGAACTGCTTGAACTTTTCGGTCGGGTTCTCGGAAAGGGTCTGACCGGCGAAAGTGTGGATGTTCCAGCCGTTTTCCATCTACAGGTACAAATTAGCAATGGTGTCTCAGCCAGTGCAAAGGGGTTCAGATTAGAAGATGAACATACCGAGTGAGTCCACACACTAGCACTGGTGACAACGTAACGACCGGTGGGATCCCAGTCAATGTCCGTGACACCGTAGTGCTCGACCGTCTTCATCAGCTGAAGGTTGGCAGCCAAATCCTTCTCACCCTCGGGCTTCTCACCCTCGAAATCCATATCCCAGAAGTCAATGTCGAAGCTCGATTGAGAGTGAACCGTGGCAACGACAACGAAGCGACCCTTGGGCGACCAGTAGATGGCGTTGCTTGTCTTCTTCTCAATGGTGCGCACAAGCTTGAAGTTACCGGCCGAAACACCCTTCTTCTCGGGAGCGAAGAAGGAAACTGCCGTCTTTGGGGGAGCGCCAGCACCGCCGGCAGCCTCACCGTTCGTGATGAGAACAAAACGTCCTCCATTCGGCTCCCAGGCGAAGTTGATCACGGTATCCTTGAGACTGTCAACAACCTCGACCGGAACACCCTTCTCGCGGATGCGGAAAATCTCCAGGTTGGTGGCCATGGACTTCTTGGACTTGGAGTGGCGATCCACCTTCACACAGACGTAGGTACCTTGTGATTGCCAGTGCAGCTTGACATCGGAGACGTTGAAAAGGTTACGGGTACGAACGATTTCTTTCGAAGGAACGCTCATAAGGGCGACACGAGCGGGGTTGCTGCCGATTTCGGGAGTCCAGAAGCAGAGCAGCTGTTCGTATTGCTTGACGCCCTCGCGGTTAACGGTGGCGGGGGACCATTCGAAGTCCATAACACCATCGATCTTGACGGAGGTCTTGCCCAGCAAGTTCATCCGGGGAAGTTCGTAGATAGAGATCGACTGGGATTGCTGCATTCTCGCAACGTACTTCTCATCAGCAGACCACTTGAAAGCGGGCCACTGAACCTTCTTCTTGGGCTGGGCATCACCCTCGGCACCAGGGCCAGCGGCGAGATCGTTGGAAACGAACGAACGCAGGGGCTTTCCGGTAACGATATCCCAGATGATGATGTTCTTTCCTTCTTCCTCGTAGGTCAAAACAGGGTGACCCTCTTCAACCTGAATGGGGCGCGCGGACCAGGTGGTGAGATAGTTCTCGCCGGGCGAGAACTCAACCAACTGCACGAAGGGGTGAGGGAACTGCTTTTGCTTCGAGAAAGCCGGACCACCCCAAAGTTGAATACCCTGAGGGTGGACAGAGGCGAGGTAGGTACCCTTGGGGGACCACTGGACGAACAGCTGCGTCCAGTGGGCACGATCGACAACATTCTCGGGCGGGTGGTTCTTGTTGTTCCAGAAGACGCCGACCTTGTCGCCGCGGTAGAGGGCGAACTGGTCACGAGCGTTGGGGTCGGCGAGCCACGAGCGGAGGTGCTCCTTCTCCTTGAAGGGTTCGATAGTGGGGGGCTTGTATTCCTCGTCGACACGTCCTTCACGACCGTAGCGGTCAATATCCATCAGTTTGTTGACAGCGAGAGTGTGCTTCTTGTCGAGGGGGACACCGTGCAGGGCCTTCACGGCAGCGACGGCTTGTTCGGGAGTCTCATATTCGACGAAGGCGAAACTGCGACCCAACGTTAATTTTTCCCTGCTGCAGTTCCAGCCCGAGTTCCCAGTACATACCCTTCGGACATATTCTTGTCGTTGATGGGCATGAAAACAGCATCTTCGGAGGTGTTGCCGGCGGTGGTGAGCTTCCTCAACAAGAACTTAATGAGCTTCTGCCTGCTCTCCTCGGGCACGATCGGAAGCCCATCGATGACAACAAATGTATCCAAACCCTCATCAAGTTTCACTTCAAACTGCTCCTTAAGGTCTGCAAGACCAAAAACCGATCGCGGTCAGTGACGACGGGCACGGGTAACGAAAAGGACAGGACAGGACAGGACAGGACAGGACAAAGAACGCGAGTCGGGGTCGCACTCACCGGAGAAGTCAATCTCCTCCTCCTCCTCTTCGTGGAGGTCCTGCTCGGAGAGGGTGTCGAAACTGGGCGCCATATTTGCACTCACAGCGGACGGCGATAAAGAGGGGGGAGGGGAACGGGGTGGAGAGCGTTGATACGGAGGAGGAAAGATCCTGTTCTGGATTTTCTGCTGGTCGACCCCGTTTTGGCTGATTTTAGGGCAAAAAGAGCAAATCCCAAACCGCAAGCGCTTCTGTGTGCGAAGCAGCTGAGTCAGCTGTAATTTAGATCAGGTGACTATAGATCACCTGATTAGGTGTGGCTGGGCGGGACAGGAGAAGGAGTGGGGGAGTGGGAAGTTGGGGACTCTTTACTACTAGTGCTGTGCACGTGATCTAGATTAACTAAGCCGTGTCCCCCAGCTTCTCGACCGGCTGATGATGATTGTCACTCTAACCGACCCGACCTGTACATCGGCTTGGCTGGACATCATAACAATCGCGATCCCACGTATCGTCCCTTCTCGTTCCCCCCCCCGCCTCTTCCTCGTCTTGCTCGTGTGGGTGAGAGCTGTTGGTAGTCCTGCACCGGCCATTTTCCAGTCATTATCTCTTTTCTCGTTGTTCATTAACCAATCCCTCGTCTTGCATCGCATCCTCCGGGGATTTCTCTATCATTCTCGCTCTTATGCCCCGCCGGTCCTAAGCGCCAGCGCTACGCCCAGATCTAGACGCTCCCTCCTCCCAGAGCACCACCACCCGCGCCCTAGACCCTGCCATTTGCTACCCTATTAGCCTACACTCAGCCTCTGGCTAGCAATTGACATCGTTCTGAGTCTCCGTTCACATTAGTTTTGGAATTTACGCGGATAGCGAAGCCACTGGAACAAAATGTCGCGTAAGTTCGGAGTCTGATGTTCCGGGTCATGCAGCAGTGCCGAGATCGCTCTCAACTGACATCACCTCATGTTTGCGCCAGTCTCACCAGAGGCTCGTGTGCAGTTTACTCCGATCATCGATTCGATCTTAGCAAAAAGCGACCTGAATACCATCTCCGAGAAGCGCATTCGCAAAGGCCTTCAGGAAGAGATCGGATATGACCTTACCCCGCAAAAGGTCAGCTCCCCGGACTTGGACTCTGCTCGCGACACCCTGCTTTTTATACTTCCAGCGTCGGCGTAACATATTGCTAACCTCGTTTTCGTACTCAGGCTGCCGTCAAGCAGCTTATCATGGAACGTTTCGACATCTTTGCGGCAAGAGGAGGCATTGTAGCTGCACCCGAGCCGGCTGTGAATGCTGTCACAACCACCAATGGCCATGGTCCCAGCCATGGCTCCGAAACGCCCCCTGCGGACCCCTCGTCTCCTGCACAGTCCTCGATTTCTCACAAACGCCAAGCGGATAGTGAGGATAACTCGGACCTTTCGAGCAAGACACCCCCCACAAAGAAGAAGAAGCCGGACAATGATATTGATGCGGACGCCCTGTACGCTGCAAAGCTACAGGCCGAGGAGAATATGCGCGCTCGTCAAACCCGTGGGGGCAATGCGCGCCGAGCTCCTCCCGTGAAGAAGAAGACCAAGGCGAAGACGTCTAAGAAGGTCAAGGCGGAAGATGATTCTGATCTTGAGTCGGGTTCAGAATCGGGAAAGAAAGTCAACCGGTCCGGCGGTTTTCATGTGAGCTTCAGATTTATCTTTCAAGTCTAACACGTTTGCTGACACTACCCCAGAAACCACTCACTCTTTCACCAGCGCTCTCTGCTCTGTTGGGTGGCGAGGTTACTGTCTGTTTCCCCCTTGTCTATTATGTTTTGTTCATTCTCTGGCTTTGTTGCTGACTATACCACAGCTTTCTCGTCCGCAGACAGTCAAGCGACTCTGGCAGTACATTCACGAGCATAATCTTCAAGACCCTAGTGATAGGCGACAGATCTGCTGCGACGACGCAATGCGCGCAGTCTTCAAGCAAGACCGTATACATATGTTCACCATGACCAAAATTTTGAGTCAGAACTTATATAGCCCCGACGAATGACCTGTTTCCGTTGATCGAGAACTACGGTGACCGGTAGCCTTCAGGACAGGGCAGCCTGCGGCGAATATGTTGCTGCACTTACGACCATCTTTTTTACACTCATTGCACCGCATAAGGAGACCCGGCGCTACATTGCTTGTTTCTTATTTATTCTCTCATTGCCCTCTCATAGTGTCTCATCCTTGGCTCTTTTCTTTCCCTTCTCCTGATTTTACTTACTGATATTGTCATTGGCGAGATGCTTGCCTCCTGTTTCCTTTTGTTGATTTGATAGTTTCTCTCCAGCGGGAGTTGGTGCTGCCTTCGAAATAGGCGCGATGGATAATTCTATTTAGAGATCATATATGATTCTGATGGTGGGCTCATATAGCCTGTCGCCTTCCAGCGTAGGCATTAGTCAAAGATGCCAGAAATCCATCTGAGTGTGCATAAGCAATTAGGTTGCCTCTCCCCCCTCATTGAAAACTAGTAGACCATGGGGCATTTTGGAGGGGATATGAGACACAACCTCGACTCGGTTCTTGTTTAAATGTTTTGCATGCGTTATCGAGACTAGAGATGAGTCATACCATGAGCTGAGCCGATTTGTATCGTCAGTCTCAGTGAATTAGGGAAGGGAAAGGGGGAAAGGAGGGGGATGTCATCGATGATGCTTGTTTGCTCACTAAGCATGCCGCAAACCCGACTTTTTTGCCCGCCGCCGCTTGCACTGGAAAGCTGGTCATTAGCAGCGACCCCAACATACTCTCTTTACCCCTCCGTCACAATCAACGCTTCGTCGCAGAGGCTCCAGGGAGCCAGAGCTCTTTTTATCACCCAGAATTCCTGCTAAACTTCGATTTCTTCAACTGGTTCCGCCAATCTCATTCACTAATTCTCCCATACCTCCCGATGTCTGAGACTCAACCTGCTCAGGCCCCCTCCGGACCGCAAAGCTCAAACCGAGGCGGCCGTCGGCGCGGACGAGGGGGAGGATTCGGAGCTGCTCGCCAACCTGGACAGGCGGAAGCCTCGCAACAAACAACGGACGGTCCAGGAAAAGGGTCAAGATCCAGAGGTCATGGACCCCGCCGCGGCGGCGGCGGCGGCGGCGGGGGAGGTCGAGACAAACAGAAGTCCGCCGCGAACACGACTGATGTCAAACCCACAACCACAATTGAGAGTAAAGGAAAGCAGGCGGTCGCAGAGGATTCCGATGACGCGGACGATGGGGAGGTCTGCTTCATCTGTGCTTCGAAGGTTGAGCATACCTCCGTCTCACCTTGCAACCACCGGACCTGTCATATCTGCGCGTTGCGGTTGAGAGCATTGTATAAGAACAAAGCTTGTGCACACTGTCGGGTATGTGCTTCTGCTTTGCCCCCATGCCGTTAATTGGCTAGGTGCTAATAAATGTGTGCTGCGACAGACGGAATCCAGCTTTGTGATCTTCACAGATGATCATGCTAAGCGCTTCGAGGACTTCACAGAAGCCGATTTCTCCCAAAAGGATGACAACCTTGGAATCAAGTATGAGAGTGGTGAGATCTTCGAGGACACTGTTTTATTATTGCGGTACAACTGTCCCGAAAGGAGCTGTGATGTCGCTTGTTTGGGATGGCCTGACCTGCATCGCCATGTTAAGACCAAGCATGGCAGGGTGATGTGGTGAGTATCTTCGCTCTTGCGTGAGCATTTGTGCATTTATACTTACACATATTTTCTACCTCTAGTGATCTTTGCACACGAAACAAGAAGGTTTTTACCCACGAGCATGAGCTTTTCACTAACCAGGAATTGCGGCGACACGAGAGACATGGAGACGATGTTCCTGGTGCGATTGACCAAAGTGGATTCAAAGGACATCCAGAGTGTGGTTTCTGTCGGCAGCGTTTCTACGGCGATGACGAACTTTACGCTCACTGTCGTGACCGTCATGAGCGGTGCCACATCTGCGATCGACAATCAAGTAACCGTCAACAACAGTACTACATTGACTACAACGCGCTAGAGGACCATTTCCAAAAAGATCATTTTCTCTGCTTGGATCAGGAGTGCTTAGAGAAGAAATTCGTGGTCTTCGAATCTCAGATGGATCTCAAAGCGCACCAGCTGGAAAACCACCCCAACGGGCTCTCGAAGGATGCAAGACGCGACGCACGTACGGTCGACCTTTCTACATTTGACTACAGAGCTCCGTACCAGCCTCAACGACAACGCCGTGGTGCAGGTCGTGGACGCGATCCCAACTCAGAGCCTCTGCCCGTCTCGAGCGCACAGCCCCTGAGGCGAGACGAGATTGCCTATCAACGACAGATGGCCATTCAAAGTGCACAGTCTGTTTCCACCAGGAGTTTCGGCGGCCAGCTTACCCGCAGCGACACTCAACCTGTGCGCGCTCCCGCTCGATCCGCGGCTGCCACGCCTGTGCAGACGCCTCCGGCCGCATCCACTCCCGTTGCTGAAATGAGCGACCTCAATCTGAACGCAGATGCGGGCCCCGTCTCCCCTCAGGAACAAGCACGCCGCCTGCGCCATGCTGCCGTCGTAGAACGCGCCTCGAATCTGCTCGGTAATGATAGGAACAAACTGAACGAATTCCGCACCAGAGTTTCCAGCTATCGCACTTCCTCCATCTCTGCCACCGAACTAATCGACGCTTTCTTCTCCCTCTTTGACACTTCCAGCACCGAGCTCGGTAAACTGATCAAAGAGCTCGCGGAGATCTACGAAGACGACAACAAGCGCAATGCATTGCTGAAATCCTGGAACGACTGGCGTGCGATCAACGAAGACTATCCTGCCCTCCCCGGCCCTGGCGGGACTATCCCCGGCATGTCGCCAGGAACCGTCAATGCCAGCGGCGTGGGAGGAAAGCGTGTCCTGCGTCTTAAATCCTCCACTGCGCAGTCCTCCCGATCCGCCGTCGGCAGAAGTGGTGCCATGCCCTCCGGGTCCTCTTCGACCAGTGCTTTCCCTCCCCTTTCCTCTGCGACGGCTCGCTCTGCCCCGCGATCCACGCCAGCTTCATCCACCCCGTGGGCAAGCTCAGCAGCAGCACCCACTTCCGCCGCCCCCTCGCCCTCCATTCCCCCCCGCACCTACTCCACTCGCACCGGCGCTCCCGCCACCTCCCGGCCGGCCCAAACCGGCAGCGCCGACGCTTTCCCAGCCCTCCCCGCAGCGCCCAAACCCAACGTCCTCATGGCAGGTCTCACCCGCGGCACCGTCCGCTGGGACAACCGTGCACCGCAGGTGAACGCCTGGAGCTCCTCGTCCCGGAACGACTCCGGCGCCAACTCCACCGCGGAGGACGAGGACTTCCCTGCGGTCGGGGGCAAGAAGGGCAAAGGCAAGAAAGGAAAACAGACCTTGTTCCATTTCGGATAATTCAGGGAAAATTCCGTCTTTCTCCGCAAATCTGATACACTCAGTATGTATCTATCTACCTAGACGATTTACACCCACACACCCACGAGCTCTGTACCTCCATCTTCTGAAGAAGTCTTTTGTCATGTTTGAGCCTGTTTTTAAGCGTGTTGTTTCACTCAGAGTTGGCTCGGGGACTTGTTTAAGGATACAAAAAAAGTAGAGTTTTCATATTTGTATATTTTGCTTCCCCGTAACACAATTAGCTAGGATCTTCTGCTTGAGATAGGAGGACGAGCAATACTGGAGGCCAAAGAGACTGTCCTTCTCTTTGCGAAGGTCTGTCTATAGTGGCCTTGTGGTTGCAAGAGAATGATGAGCTGGGCCTTGTTAGGCAGGCGACTAGAAAGGTCGAAGTAATACTACCAGGCGCCGGACAGATGTAGATATTCTTTGAATCCGCCCTGAGAGCGCAATCGCAGTGGCTGAATGCCTGGATACTACTAGGAGGTGCTATCGGGTACTGTACATATATGTTGCTATTCCTCTTCTCCCTGAACATACCTTCAACCTACATTAGACTGAGCAGCAGGTATGGTAGGTTTACAATGCTAAAACTACAGATTCTGTGCTATAGTTCTGCCGGGAGAGTCAACGCGAACGCATTATTCCGACCAGCTCAGGCTGTCCTCGGGCGCTTCGGGATCCATCTGATTTTCGGGATTCTTACCTTTATCATCTTCAGCTTCATCAGTATCGTCGTCTTCAGTATCATTGATACCGTCATCGTCAGCATCATCTTCAGCGTCGTCTTCAGCATCGTCTGCAGCGCCATTATCACCACTACTTTCCGCCGCATCCCCGTCAATCGCGGCCATGCGCAGGAGAAACTCATCCTGGAGACGCTTCAGCCACCGCCAAAGAGCCTTGTTACCCAGGGTCCCATCCCGCGCCAACAGCAACTGTTCCCTGAGCGAAAGGATTAGATTGCGCTTGCGGGTGACGGCCAATGCGCGGGTCTTCGCGTGCCGACGCCTGGCCATGCGGTCCAAGTTCTCAGCGACCTCCTGCGCCGTTTCGAGGACACCCGGCGGGAGGTCGACCAGCTTGGCTAAGGCTAGGCCATAGAAGCGCGTGGTGTCGGGTCCCTCGGCGACCCTGTAGAGCATGGTCATCTTGGACGCGTCGGGGCTGATCTCGGCGGCCAGATGAAGGCTGGCGACGCCGCTGCGCTCGCCCAGGACCACCGCCAGATCGCGGAAGTGCGTCACGAACCAGACCAGGGCGTGGCTCTCGACTAGCGCTTCGGCAATGGCGATGGCGATGGCCAGGCCGTCGGCGGTGCTGGTGCCGCGGCCGAGCTCGTCGACGAACACCATGCTCGGCTGCTCGGGCAGGACGTTGCGCAGGATGAATGCCATCTCGCGCATCTCGGCGGCAAAGGTGGAGACGTTAGCCTCGACATCGTCCGCGGTGGCGATCCGCGCGAACAGCTGGTGGGTGATGGGGAACGAGGCATACTCCGCGGGCACGAAGCAGCCGATCTGGGCCATCACGGTCATCAGGGCGATCGACCGGATGTAGGTCGACTTGCCGCTCATGTTGCAGCCCGTGATGACGTTGAACCGCGTCTGCGGCGTGGCGTAGACGTCGTTCGGGATGAATCTCCTCGCGTGGATCTTCTCGCGGATCGGGTGGCGGCCGGCTTTGATGGCGAGCACGTTGGTGATCTCCGGGCGAATGTACTCGTGACTCGTGGCTAACTGTGCGAAAGAGGCTAGCATGTCGAGGATGGCGATGGCTTCGCTGATCTTGAACAGACTCGATACCTCGGAGCAGATGCTCGTGGTCAGGTCTTGGACCGTCTCGTCGCTCATGTTGATCACTTCGTTGTGCGCGTCTCGGATCTTGTGGTTCAGCTTGACGAGATCGAGCGTCTGGCATTCGATGCGGTTCTTCTTGCGGTAGACATTGATGAAGACCTCGGGTAGTGTATGGGTTTCTGTGGTTGAAATGCTGATGTAGTATTGGCGGGCTCTATCATACTTCAGATCGAGCGCAAGGTCATGGCATTCTGCAGGCGTTAGAGAGATACTAGACGCAAGATAGTTCGGGAAGGGCACTTGCCCGCTAGAGCAGTGACCAACTCTGTAGCATCTGTATTGGCCTCTTTATATGCCTGTCTTGCGACGTCAAGCAAGCTATTGACCCCAGCCTGGGATCCGGATTGGAGATCGAAGTGGTCAGCCAGCTTAGATAGTGGAGCACGCAAAAGGACCTTTACCCTGACGCAATATATCCTCTGGTTCCTGAGGTCGAGTGGCTTTGTCGTGTAGGTGACTTCTTCGTTCAGAGTTTCGTCGATCAGCTGCTCCAGTGCTTGATGACCTTCCGGGGCGCATAGCTAGAGACTGTGATTAGCCTGGAATTTCATGAAGCTGACTAGACTCTACCTCTCTGATGTTGAGGAGCATATTACTCTGAGCCGGAGCAAGTGCCTTGTATATCGACTTGATGGATGAGACATATGTTTTGACCATGATGACATTGTTTACAGATTGCTCGACGTATCCAATTGCTCGTTTGGTAGGGACAAGGATAAGCTAGACGGTTAATTCTTGCATGTAGGTTCGGCTCGAACTCCACTCACTGCAGTCAAGGCCTTGTCGACGTCAAGGTATCCCTTAAGAGCTTCGTCCACGGCCATGTCAGCGCAGAAGAGAACTTAAACAGCTATTCACTAACCCTGTCTAATGGAAACAAACATATCCTCTTTGGTGGTCAGGTCCTCGACTGCGTCGTAGCGGGCCAGTAGCTGCGATTCATCGGTAGAAGGCTGCAGAATATTGGCCCTGAGCAGCCGTGTGCCCATGGGAGTCAGTGTCTCGTTGAGTAGTCCGAAAAGGCTATCCTTTGACCTCGCAACCTGTAAATTCTGAGTGAGCTCGAGAGACACAATGGTAGATAAGTCAATCGACATTGCACCCTGAGATGGCTCGTATTTGATTCGCAGAGAATGGCAGGTGAAAGCCTTGTTGAGTTCTACCTCGACGTATTTCAGAACCTGTCAAGAATCAATGGCTGTTTCGCTCATCGTCGACCCTCCTGTGGGCACATACGGCAGCAAAACAGCAAGAGGCAAAATAGTTCCACTCCAGGACCATCTTGATGGGTTCGACATCCTCTGAGAAAGCCAGTCTCTCCACGTATTCGTGGCCCATTGTTTCGGACCAGAACTTCCGGTCCACCGAGGTGAACGTTGTGTCTGGGATGTTCTCCTTGAGTATGTAGGCGAGCTTGGATTCCTGGGCACTATTCATTAGGAGAATCTCCGTGGGCTCATACACCCCGATCTTCGTGACGGTCTTGACATAGGTCTGGTTGTCGCAAATCTGACATAGAACCGCCTCTGCAGTAGACAGGTTGACGAAGGCCAAGCCAACCGTTGCTGAAACACCGCGAGACTCGCTGACAGCACAGACGATATCTTGAGATGCGATGCTCGTCCCCGAGGTTGTCGGTCGTGTTGCTGTTCGGGGCCGTGAACTACTTGCTCGGGTGAGGGCGACGAATGAATCTGAAGCGCCCACCGAGGAAGCCCTGGAGTAGATGGAGACCATAGTGCCCGCCTGGAGAGTATGCAGTCTTTGTGCGCAAGTTCTTGAGGCAGAAGTCTTGCCCAATTGGTAAGAGCTACACGTGATTGATCCCGGCGCGCTCCCAGTGCACTCCCCTTGTCGTCCACTCCCAATCCTAAGGAGTCTGTCTGATCAACCCTCCTATTAGTGAATGAAACTATCTCTTGTTGAAGAAAGCCGCGTACTTTCGGCATGGCCGCTGATTTGATACACAGCTTACATACAAAATCCTCATCTTTTACTTTAGAAAACTCTTGCTATTGATTAGGATTTATAGATTATAGATAATAAGTATACACCTCCCTACATTGCAAGAAGAGATACTTTATAAGGCCTTACTGACTTACTTACAGAGGTGCTGAGGGAGGCTTCCTCTACTTATGTTACTAAGAATAATGAGTAATATATGTTCTCTATAGGAGCTCAGACCTACTTGATATGATCTAACCTTTGATGATGCCGTTCTCTGGCCACACAGGACCGTTTTGACCTCCCAAAGACGTCGCGAAACCGACTCAGAACTCAAATTGTGGGCGGCGGGGGTTGAGATATTGAAGATCCTCATCATCATGGTTTATTGAGGTCGAGTATGAAATAGGAGGTATACTCCTCACAAGGTCTGGGTGATGCTCCGATGTCCGAAAGCGGGATAGTGCCGATCTTCCCCCACGGCAGCGATAAGTCCGCCCGGGATTCTTTATCGATTTTTTTTCCGAAAGGCTAGAAGACCTTCACACAACAAACCCCCCCAAATCACTCTCACAATGGCGACTCTTCTGCCTCCTCCTACCAAGCGTCAGAAGACGGAGATTGCCGAGAAGGCCCGTCTTCAGCAAGAGATCGAGAGCATCCCAGAGAACCTGGGCAGTGTCCGAGTGCAGTTTTTCGACCAAGCGACAGGAGCGCCAACCGGACCAGCAGTGTCCGTCCCAGTGGCCGATGCCAACGTAAAGAACTTGGAGACGCTACTCAATACCCTACAAGGCAATGTAGGTACGCGACACATGCGAAGATGGTGACCGCATACCAGATATACTAATTTCCGCTCCTCCGCAAAAAAACACAGGAAGATGATGAGCGGGTGCCATACCGGTTTACCTACCAGTCGGACGATAAGGACAATCAGACGATCGACATTCTAGCACATCTGTACCACTCGCTGCTCAAGCCGGGCCTCAAGACCACCGAAGATACCGTTCACCTCTACTACACGCCGCAGGCGGTTTTCCGAGTCAAGGCGGTCTCGCGATGCTCTGCTTCCATCGCCGGACACGGGGAAGCGATTCTGGCCACCTCCTTCTCCCCCGTCAATTCGTCCACCATGGTCACCGGCAGCGGTGACTCGACGGCCCGGATCTGGGACTGCGACACCGGAACCCCCCTCCATACCTTGAAGGGTCACACTAGCTGGGTGCTGGCGGTCAGCTACTCCCCCAACGGCGCGATGATCGCGACCGGCAGCATGGACAACACAGTGCGGGTGTGGGATGCGAAGAAGGGCACAGCGCTCGGGGCGCCGTTAAAGGGCCATGCGAAGTGGATCACCAGCCTGGCGTGGGAGCCCTATCACCTACAGCAGCCGGGGCGGCCGCGCCTGGCGTCCGCCTCCAAGGACTCGACGGTCCGCGTCTGGGACGTGGTCAGCAAGCGCATCGATATGGTTCTCACCGGCCACAAGGGCTCGGTCACCTGCGTCAAGTGGGGCGGCACGGGCAAGATCTACACGGCCTCGCACGACAAGACGGTCAAGGTGTGGAACGCGGAGAACGGCACTCTGATCCAGACCCTGTCCGCCCACGCCCACCGGGTAAACCACCTGGCGCTGTCCACGGACTTCGTCCTCCGGACCGCCTACCACGACCACACGGGCCAAGTCCCGCAGGCCGACGCCGAGAAGGTCGCCGCCGCGAAGCAGCGGTACGAGCACGCCGCCACCATCAACAACAAGATTGTCGAGAAGCTCGTCTCGGCCAGCGACGACTTCACCATGTATCTCTGGGAGCCGGAGAACTCCAGCAAGCCCGTTGCGCGACTGCTCGGTCATCAGAAGGAGGTCAACCATGTCACATTCTCGCCGGATATGGCGTACATCGCCTCGGCGGGATTCGACAACCACGTCAAGCTCTGGAATGCCCGGGATGGAAAGTGAGTGCAACCTTCAGTTCTTATTTAATCTTGAAGCGAGCCCCGACACTAACATATACCACCCCATAGGTTCATCACAACTCTCCGCGGCCACGTCGGAGCCGTCTACCAATGCTGTTTCTCCGCCGACTCCCGCATGCTCGTCTCCTCGTCGAAAGACACGACCCTGAAGGTGTGGAACGTCCGCACGGGCAAGCTCTCCGAGGATCTGCCGGGACACAAGGATGAAGTGTTCGCGGTGGACTGGAGTCCCGACGGACAGAAGGTGGGAAGTGGCGGCAAGGACAAGGCCGTACGGATATGGCGCAACTGATGACGGAGAAGAAAAAAAGCTTTTTGTTTTTGTTTGTCTTGATGAACAAAGTATATAGAACCAGATACCCTGTTTTTCACCCTGGAGACAGTATGTGCTACGTGCTTTCAGCTATCGTTGGTTGTGGTTCGTAAGGTAAACAAATCGGGCAATGGATAAGCTGACCCTGCGTACCCTCTCCACACTTTTGCTCGAATCTGAGTACCATGCATACTCTAACAAGCACCTGCTTTAGTACTTTGAGACTGCAGTCATGAACGCCCTAGTCTGCTAGGCTCATCGTGGTCGGTAGGTAGTCCAGACACTAGGAAGTGAAAGAGCGTTCGGACTGGTAGTCAGCAGTCAAACCATCTGCAGCAGGGTAACTTGTACCCTGAGACATGGCTGATACTGGCCAGCCTCGGGGGGGTCCACCCCACGAGCTTGCTCCTGTTGCACGATGGCGCGCGGGTCATTGTGTCACACGCACCCGAGGTGTACAGTACAGTACACTCCACCACGGTGTATAACCCTACTAGACCCATCTACGTACATGAAGTCGTTGGTCCTGCCTATGCTCCCTCCCAACTCAGAGTATTCCTATTCCATCTGGTAAAGGACAAACGTGTTGAATTACTGTCCGCCAAAAGGATTGAGTGAAACACCAATGTAGATTCACAAGCCAAGAGCAGTAAGGAAATGCGATTCGCTATCTTCCGCTAGCGGCGAAAGGAGCTCCAGAACTTGAAGCTTCAAGAGACAAAAAACAAAAGAGGTTGTTGCTTGCGTGGAGGTGGCAGTGTGTTTCATTATGAGCAGCCCTCGAAGAGGCGAAGAGAGAAGTTCAGTACAATACAGCTACAGTACATATAAGTTATGAGTTATGAGACATGAAATGCAGTGGTTGATGTGCATGCACCATGATGCTCACCCACAAATGTCGGAATTTGAGACTCATCCCCCCTCCCCCCCCCCGCGCCCCTTGCCTTTGGGCACAAACCTATTGGAAAACGATGTTTTTGAAGGTTGAAGATGAAGGGTTGATCCAGTTTAGACATTCAACTGATTGTCTTCTACCCAAGTTATACACCGGGGGAGGGGGACACGCAGGTAAGGAAAGCATAGCAGTATTCGCACAGAGGGGCAGCAACACAGACTCGGAAGCATTTGGGGTAAAATTAATAAGGCAAAGAGAAAAGAAGACCACCGAGTAACACGAGTAAGGACTGGAAGAGATATTGAGCAAAGGAAGAAAAAATTAAAAGACTAATGGAACAAATAGAAAAGCCCGCGACACCGGTCCCGATACCAATACCAATACACCCAATCCGTTTGATGAAAACAAACCCCTTCCCCAACCCCCGAACCAGTCCCTCTAGAGAAACACCGCATTCCCAGGAACCCAGGTCAAATTACCAAATTGCGCCAGAGGAGGTATTAGGCAAACAGCAAACAGAAGCAAATCAAGGAAAAGGCCAATCTCACAGACCAGAGAAGCGCATCACCGGCTTTCTAGTCATACTCATCTCCACCGTCATCGTTGTCACTGTGTCGCCCGCGCGATCCCTTGACGCCGTCCTTTCGGATCGGGATCTTGATGCCTTGGAGCGCGAAGCATTTGCTGAGGGACGTGCTTTCGATGACACCGGGGAACTTCTTGGCGGAGTAGACATGGAAGGGCTCGGAGAATACGGATGCCAGTACGGGCGCTGACCCGTGGTTGATTACCGACACGCCATTGGGAGATTCCCCGGATTGGGTGCCCACGTTGATGAAGCTCATTTTCAGGCTGCAGAGTAAAAGTCAGCTAAGCAGTAGCACAGCAGGGGATTTTACTGTTCAAAGCACGTACCGGAAGGAACCCTCTGTCCGTACACTCAGGTCCTGCAGAATGAACCAGACACCGATCTTGTTCTCCGGATCCGTCAGTCGGAATGCACTGGCGCTCAAACTGCCGATGAGATTTCGCGTGAACATGCCAGCACCTGGAGCGGCGGTAACAGGCTGCGCTGGGGAGATGTTGGCGGGTGGCATGTGACCCCCGGCATAGTAGGGGTAGTAAGGTTGGGCTTGCGGATTCGCTCCATAGGGGTTTTGGTATTGAAGTTGCGGGTTTCCGGCGTAGTAGTTATTCATGTGCGGGTAACCAACAGGCTGACCATAGGCATTTTGCGCATACGGAGGGTACGAAGGTGAGACGTTCTGCAACGGAGGCGGGTATGACGAGGACATGGCGGTAGATATCGACGGAGAGGTGGCCGAGTGCTTCACCAAGTTGACTTCGCTCGTCCCCTCGGCATTCCACAGATCGACCATGAGTACATAAAAGGAGGTATCAATCTCACTAGTTCAATCTGATTAGTGTTTGTCGCATCACCATCGGCGAACCCGGGGAATCGACTTACTTGATATCGATTTCCTTTTCTGTTTGAGCGTCCCGGACAATTAGACGGATGCATGGAGGAGGCGTAATGGGTCGCCGATCCTGATAATGGTCAGCAAAGATAAAGACGATTTAGACAAGAACACAGCGCCTGGCTCTGGGTTGAGAACTCCTGTCACGTGCCGAATTCTCTTCGTCCAAGAGCAGGTCAAACCCGAGACTCAGATCCATGCGACTTCGAGTCTCATCAAGAGAGCGCTAGCAATCAGAAGCAGCCAATTGCAGACAAGACTTGAGGTTTTTCAATGCGTTCGCGACTCAGCCTCCCCGAGCTTCACGAACCATCCGAGCCATGCAGGTTTGGCGACAACCCAATCGGACTCCATGCCTCTGCCTAGCGATTCTCTTGCCAACGGAACTGCATTCGGACCAATATCCGAGTCGCATGGATCCAAGATCTCCGGTCCTTTCCAACGCCTGAGGAAGAGTTCGAGCACAATGCGACAAACGAAAAATTCAGATCCATGCGCTAAATCCATGCGCTAGCCCGCAGATCAACAAGACTGACCTTGTCACCGAAGCCACACATGCGGGCGCGAATTGGCTGCTGTACCACTTGTAGAGCCCAAATGCGACCCTCGTGAACGGTGGTGAGCGGAGAGAGATGGGCTGCGGAGGCCATGGCGGGGGGCACTGGGCCGGCGGACCCAGGCGTGGGGTAGGAGGAAGAGGGCGGAATTCGATCCATGGCGAGGGGTGGCGGAGGAATACGATCCATGAAGTGAGACAGAGGGGGGAGAGGGGGGGGGGAGGGGGAGTGGGAGGTGAGCTCGTGGCTTGTCTGCAATAGCGCGGGTTCAGCCAAGCGGAGGAGGGTGATGCTGTAAAAGGCGGGGTTGCATACGAGCGCAGTGCGCGTTGTGAGGAAACTGGCTGACGATGAGGGGGGTAAGACCAAAAGAAAAAGCAAAGAAGGAGGTAGATTGGAGAGGAAGTAAGGAGAGGGAAGAAAAGAAGACTAAAGGTAGTTAATTTTTGGAGTAGCGGGGAGAGAGAAGAGAAAGTTAGGAAGAGTTAAGAGAAGAGAGAGCAGAGAGCAGCAGCAGCAGCAGTCAGTGGGCAGTGTGGGCGGAGTCACGGGCAGCTTTTTTGGAGTTCCAGAACTGCACGGAGTATGAGCTCATCTCTTTTTGCTCTCTTTGCTTCATGCCCGTCATTCCCTTTCTTTATTTCCTTCAGAAACACAGCTGTTTGGGATGTGATCCTAAATAGTCTACTGAGTTGCTAATCAATTCACAATCTGATACTTGTCTGATGGAAAGAATAAGGTATTTGCTTGTGATCCATACGTCGGGGCTCCTGAGGATCCCACGGGTCTGTGGGCGTCAGGCTTCAGCTTCTGTTGGTTAGGGGCATCGCGGATTACGGAGCTGTAATATTGCTAGAACACCCACGGACTGCCCGCTAACGTTTTAGCTGGGTATTTTAGGGATGAACGGTGCGTGGAGGATACCCGAGGAATACCAAAAGAATACCGGTGCAGCGTGAGGTTTAGAGGGTTGACGGGACTCAAAAGTTACCTTCCGTTACCAATTACCTCCCCTCGACCTCACTATTCTGTACCCGGCCGAACCGCTGACTACACGCCTAGACCCGACATGTTACTAGCGCCAGAATCGATAGGTTTTAGTCGCGTCACGGATCAGGAGGCGATCAGCACTCAAGCCGGCGCAGGAACCTGGACCCAGACAGTCGGGTTCGGCCTCTTGCCCAGTCCGGAGCTTTGCTTGCCGTGTGCATCCTACTAGGGGGTGCTGTTCACGGAAGCTGAACAGTAGGTCATCGCCTCAGCTAGAACCCTAATTTCATACAATGGTGTACAGTACTTGTTCAAGTTCACATCCTTCCACTGCTGACCTACTACTTATTGAATTTCTTCGGGTATCCCCTATCTTTGCAGTCCTTCGTTTTTTTGACATGCTGCAGCATATTGCCGTGTGCGCCCGGGGCGCTGTCACTCTGGCCTGCCCGTGTACAGTACTGTCGCTACTGCACACTGCCAGATAAGTCGGTGGTTGTCAGAATGTAACACCGGAAGAGGGGGAAGGAATTCGACAAATGAGATTTTTAATTAACCGACTGCGGCATTTCCCCGGTACGAGCTAAACCCGATCAGGCATACAGTGGGGGTTGTCTGTTGACTCTATCAGCCAATCTCATTCCCGTATGTCCTCCTGCAGGCGTTTTCGTTCCTCTGCGTTGGGTCGACAGAAGCTGACGCCCGACGCAGAACTGAACTCTCCTCCACCCGTTTCAGATGGCTGCAGTCAATTCATGTCGGTGATAAGGCCGCTCACAGCGTTGGTTATGCAGTCAGCATGAGCCAATGGGGCGATCCAAGAATAGTGCCTTTGCCGATTCGGGACGCCTGCGTGCATAATCATTCAAAATGGAGACAAGGTTTCGGCCATCGCCCTCTCCGAGGAAGACCTCTCCTCAAACCGAGACCTGAGACATAGCATCATTGAAGAGGGCAGGAAACAGACACAGGCTTGGGTGCGGAATATGAGGACATTGACACCTTTATAAGGGGTGCATCAGACCACATCACCTTCCAACTATAACAGCACGAGAAGTCAACAAATCTAGATAAGAAGGAAGCGTAGTACACTTTTGCTTGGCTCAGCTAAGCAATTCTTCGCGTTTCTTACGAGCCTGCGAATACGCACGGATCTTGGTAGTTGTCAATGCCAACTAGAGGAGAAATGGAGGAGGACTGTTGAGACCGAGGCCTTGATATGTTCTTCCATCTACTATAAAACAGTAGCATGTTTGCAGAATGATCAATAAGCCATACAGGTTCATCCCTGATCATTGGCTGGCTGAACTCTAGATAACATCAGGAATGTATCGTTCTTCAAAGCAGAGGATATTATCAAGGATCCAGATACTGGCCGGAGATCTAAGAATCGACAGAGTATAGCTACGCCAATATAGACCATCCTCAGGGCTATCCTGGTATTACCCGGGATGCGCTTGCCTAGCGGGCCCGAGCGGCTGCTTTATCCGCAGAGCTAAGCACTACCGCATCGTGATTGGTGCCCTCCTTTGCTAGTGCCTGGGAACATGCTCAGGGCTTAGATTTCACTTTCGGTTACTTAGCTTGGAGGTTCGTAGAGTATAGGAGATAGGCTCTCTGCAGGTGCTCATTCCTACACAACATATCGTTCGCTTCTCTTAGTCCTCAATTCCTCCGAGCATTGCCTAGGCTCTAGACTTGTCTGCCCCTAGCTCATTAGAATTGTTCTGAACATACTACATGAACGGACTACATAAACATATAGCATTCCAAATCCCGTTCTACCACTTTCCACCTGCAAACAACACCGAGACGGATTCTTGGTCATAATTCGCCGTTGTCTGTGGGCAAACCTCCCACTCTGGCCATCACCGTCATATTTATTGGTCAGGGTACTTGTCGGGCAGCATGTTACAATAACAATCACTAGAGGCGCTCTGAGGTATGGTGCTACCTACCGAACGAGCTCGGTCGACATGGAAGCTCTTGGCCTCACCTTACTTGGAAAGGCTGCCATGACTTGCTTCAATAAGCCCGCCAATAAGTCCGCCAGAGCCTGTCTTTTGGGTTGAGTGCTGCAACAAGTTTATCATGTCATAGGCCATACAAGAGCATTGCAATCGTGGTTGGGGGTACAGCACAATGTAGAAAGGGATGATCGCACAGGATCTCAAATAGATCATATGTTCAGCTTCCCTACTGGGGTCCTCGGGGTCTTTTCTTCAGTGCTTCATTAATTATTTCGGTCTGCGTAGGTATGTTGCATCTGGTATTGAACAGTGCACTTCATTGCCTTTGAACTGCAGCGCGAAGAGCAATAAGAAAAGAGATAGGAGATCAAATATCGACAGCCCACAATGCCCCTTCCAGCGACAGTGGTTATCAAAGGAGCTGAGCTGCTGTGAGCCCTATGGACCTACTCGGGTGCAGTCGACATGGCATGGCACTGGAAGTGCACCTAAAGCTGAAAAGAGCAAAATCGACTTCAATTTGGTACAGTTCTAACGACAGCACAGAAAACCTATACGTGCTGGCATCATCTGCCCTTGAATGAGTTCCTACAAGTTGGGGGTATAGTACAGCATCAGCACCTCAGCAGTCTCCGTTTCTTGGTTGTGGATGAGGACATCTCATCGCCTTTTCCACTCCGCGCGACGCAACGGAACAACCTTGACACCCCGCTGCTGCGAATTTCAAAGGTTCATTCGGTCTTCTGGAAATGTGGTATTCTCCGCCAACCAGAACTAGAAGACCGAAGGTCGAAGATCAATCTAGCTCTGAGAATGCGGCGAGAGAATCTTCACTTCCTCAGTCCACGCTTCATTGTCACCGGGCTGATGTCTTGCTGGGCCTGCTAAATGTGCCGTTGGTCGTGATTGGCCATCCGGGAGTGTCTATCTCTTCTCACATATTCTTTCGCGCTTAAACATATATCTTGTAAGGCCACCACTGCTGTTAGCTATACCCAGAAGGGAGAGAGAGAGTCACTGCAAGAACAACGAATAGGCCGATTCGGTCTCTCCTGAAGAGATACTCGCATCCCTTCTTTTGTAGCCAGAACGAGGGCGCGCATGAGCATGAGTTCGATGTATCCCGGATCGCCAGTTCGGACTCGGGGGCAAATAGCAGGCAATATGTTACAAGCTGTTGAGAACGAGAATCTACTCCCAGGAGGGTGTATCCCTTATGAGCAGAAAGAAATCTTTTCTCGTTCCGCGTTTTGGACACTGGAACTGCCAATCTACCGTGATTGTCTTAGGCAGAGCACACAGCGGAGCGAAGAACAAGGGATAAGTGTTTTGAGAAGTGTGAATAGCCTCTTGAGACGGTCCGTCTTTGGCAAGTGATTATCTCTTTGGTGTCTCGACCTCACAACGATCAGTATACCGGGCTCATAGTCTTATGGTCCAGGATCTTACTAAGTGCTTCTGCGACGTGCAAGGAGAGATAGCCTGCTCGAGGGTCCTCCAGGGTAGGTAAGCCCAGAGGAAGTGGACAGACACATGGGGCAAACCAGCTCCAGATGCAACCAGCACCGATCGAGGATGGCAACAATCAGAGAATATGGCCCCATACTACATCCAAAGCACCAACACATGAGCTGTTAGACTTTCTCTCTCGCATACTTCGCTATCATCATGGAGTCATGTACAGCATGCCCAGCCCTCACGCTGGCGCCAAGATACATACTACTACGATAAGCCCGATGGGGCTCGAGCATGCAGTCGCGGAGCGGAAGTCCACCTGTTAGTAGACACCAAGCGCAGGCAAAATCGATGATGCCAAACATGTCCCTCACTGCACTGCCACTAAAGACGCACACGCCACGTCGCTATGCGTCCTGTCCATCGTCTCGGCCCCGCCTCGATCAGTTGGGTGGATGATCGAAACTATCCGAATGGCCAGTTCGTTCGTACATAGTACATCAAAGCGTCTTAAAAGTGTTAGAGAACCATGCCACGCCGCGCGCGAAGTCAGCGCACAAGCATTGCATTTTCCTACTAGGGAATGGCTCCAACGTTTCTGCCAACGTTGCTGGAAAGAACGAGAACAAAAGCAAGTCCATTTCGGAGACCAAAAGAAATAAGCTGAGCCGCTAGGGTATACTTAGGTTAGGATGCTGACACTACGCCACGGCGAATATAGCTGCACTGCACTGCACTGACTCA